TTGGACGTCCTTCGTTGCGGCGCTGTGACGTATGCGGCCGACAAATTCGGCCTTCGGAGGACCCGGCCTGCCGTTTTGGACACAGCCACAGACGTACACAATATATGCAGTAAGCTAAGTAAACACCAATAAAAACACAGACATTTTTAACTATTCTGCTTGCTTTCCAAGTCTGTCGAAGAAGTCTTCATTGCATAATTTCTTTATGCTAAGCTAATATTTTGCCGGTTGGATAAATTCTGTCTTTTTTTTCTAGGCTAAAGTTACAACAATTTTTCTTCTTTATACAAGGCTAAGCTAACAGTAATATAGCTATAGCTTGCCTTTTTTGAGTCATCTTTAATAAAGTGTCTTCCAGCTTTATTTTGGCTCATTACAGCTTTTATTTTTTATTTGGTGATGGCTTTATATTGAACTGGCATACATACTAGTTTTATTAATTTGTTTACGCTTTTTATCAAACAATCTTAGTCTTTCTTGCTTTGATTCATATGTTCTTTATGCAAGGTTTAGTGAAAGAAACTTTGAATATATCCTTGCAGAATATTTAATTGTGTCTKTTGGGACAAGGTGGGCTGTACCTGAGACTGGAGTGGCATTGATGCAGAGTTGAAGGTTTGTTGTCAGAGCCAGGCTGCTATTAAAGCCAAATGTTGACTGCCAGCTGACTTCTGGTTGCCAGTAACGATCAGTAACACTTGTGAACAAACACATCAAATGCATTGTTTTGGAAGTCCATCAAAGTTGGCTGCCTTGTCGGAGATGGGAACCTAGCCATTCGTGATAACACTTTGTATATGATGGCTCTTGTGGCTGGGAAATGCCGTTTTGAGACAGACACAGAGAAGGACACTGAGTGGGACCATCTGAGCAACCGTCTTTTCATAAAAGTAAAGTCGCTGTGAGAAACAGACGCCACCTTCGGGACAGAGAAGCAACATTGCTTTGTGGGGGTTCTGGTTCAAATTGCACACTTTTTAAAGGAGTGTGTTTCTCACCAACAAAAACTTTAAAAACTGAAGTGTGAAAGAGCAAATTTTGGCAGAGCTAAGTGAAGTTTGTCCACTCTTTGAGCCAACATGGCAGATAACCAACCTTTGWATGGAGGACCAGTGAAATTCTAACAATTCGTTTGGCTGATAAATTGTAAAAGTTGAGTTCCGGGATAAACCTATCGCCTTGGCCATTATACAGAATAGTTTTCTGCTTTGCAAAGTGCCCTTAAGCGAAAACAGGACTGTTTCAGCAGAGCAGCTCAGCAGTAAACAATGGAAAGGTGCTGGAGAGCCGGGCAGCTCCCAGGTGGGAATGTTTCAGTGTGTTTAACTGTTCCTCCAGGGCACTGGTGCAAGCTGATGTCTGTTTTCTAAAGGGGGAGTAAAGTCTTAGATACAAGTATGTAAAATAAGAATAAAAGAAGCAGCTATGTGAGCATATTCGATTGTTTTGCAGGTATTTTGGGACTCGCAGGCAGTGGGATTGTCGTGGAGCGTCCAACCTGGAGGAGCTGCACCAGAGACTGAGTCAGATTATGATCCGCCGACTCAAAGCTGATGTTCTCAGTCAGCTGCCTCCGAAAATCCGCCAGCGGATCCCCTTTGACCTGCCCAAAGAGGCAGCAAAGGTATGCAGTTGGAGATGAGTGGCATTTGTAATTTATGATATACAGAAACATGCATTTGTTTTTACAGGCTCAAATAATCATTTTAATTTTAATAACATTCATAACATACAATATCCTTAATGAAGCTACAGTATTTACAACCAAGCTGGGAGGTTGTGAAAAATGTACTGTAAATWAAAACAGAATGCAGTGATTTACAAATCTCATAAACACATTTTTTCCCCACAATAGAACATAAATATATCAAATGTATAAACAGAGAAGGGAAAGGAACACCTCCACAAATCATTGTCTGTAAACACAGTTCACTKTGCTATCCACAAATGCTTCCTTAAGCTCTATCAGGCAACGAAGAAATCACGTGTCAACACCATCCTCAAATGCTGTCACATTTTCTGAACCACACTCATTTAAAATGGACAGAGACAAAATGGAGAACAGTTCTAGTCATCAGACATATCTRCTAAACAAACCTACATAGCTGTCTACTTATCGCTGTACTTGCCTAYATTCCTGTCTATCAATATCCCTACCTACTTACCTATTAAAGTACCTACCTGTCTACTTATCAGTATACCTACCTACATACAGTTAGATCCACATCTATCTACAACTTTTTCCTAATTTTGKTTCTRKACATTACCACAATGAATTTTAAACAAAACAATTCAGATGCAGGTGAAGTTCAGACTTTCACCTTTAATTCAGTGGGTTGAACAAAATGATTGCATAAAA